GGAACAAAGGGTCAGTGGACAGAGAGGCAGGCTGGTGAAAAGCTGCGTGAGCGAGAAAATGAAAAGGCGCGTCCGCGACCCCGCTGGGGCCCCGTGGAAATGATTTTAATGTGTGTGTAATCAGAGAGCCGGGGCGACAGCGGGGAGAAGAATACCGAGAAATTATCTGACAAGATAATGGCTGGGGTGGTTTTTTTTTTTTTTTTTTTCAAACATGGTGAGATGCATTAACCTCTCCATCCAATCATCTCAATCAACAGCTACAAGGATAAATAGAGGGAGCCCACGCACAGGCCTATTATGATGGGAGAAGGAGGGGGAGAGAGAAGGGGGGAGGAGAGAGAGAGAGAGAGAGAGAGAGAGAGAGAGAGAGAGAGAGAGAGAGAGAGAGACACGAGCTCGACAGCCTCGGAGTGGGGAACATTACATCCAGAACGAGGACGAGGAGAATGAGGCTTTTCTTGCCGAGATTCAATGGAGGAATAGCCTTCAAGGGCCCGAAGGAAACATCCAATTGTGTACCTCAAAGTCCTATCCAGCAGAAATGTATCTCAAGAAGGAAGGGGGAAAAGGGAGAGATCCACCGAAGGACTTGTGTGCACACATATGAGCCTAACCAGTGGTCAAGGACAATAGGGGGGCGGAGGCATGAGTGTGGGAGGGTGGGGGATTGGAATGGGGGGTTGAGGACAAATATGTGATACCTTAATCAATAAAGAAATTAATTTTTTTTAAAAAAAAGAAAGAAGGGGAGAGCCACGCAGGTGGAATGCCGGGGAAACTGGGGAGCTGGCCAAAGGCAAAAAGATGAAAGGGGCCCTCGTCGGCATGGCTCAGTGGATGGAGCATCAACCTAGAAGCCGGAGGTCACGGTTCCATTCATGGCCAGGGCACATGTCTGAGTTGCAGGCACCTGCAAGAGGCAGCTGATCCATGATTCTCTCTCATCATGGATGTTCTCTCTCCTCCTCCTCCTCCTCCTCCTCCTCCTTCTCCTCCTCCTCCTCCTTTCCTCTCTCTGTGGACTGAAGGGTCCTCAGATTCGTTCCCAGTCAAGGGCACACACCTTGGTGGCGGCAGGCTTGATGCCCAGGGGAGGAATCAGCCGGTCGATGATTCTCTCTCATCATGGATGCTTCTATCTCTCCCTCCCTCGCCCTTCCCCTGTGAAGTCCATAAAAATACATATTTTTTATAAGTGTATAAAATTAAAAAAAAATTTAAAAATTAAAAAAAGGAAGGCTGCCGTCCCCAGGGGAGTCTCCCTTCTGGTGACAATGCAGATTACCAGCACATCCACACATGCCCCCTGCACCCCGCTCAAGGCTTCACCATCTGGTCTATATTCCGCCTCCATCTCCCCCTTTTTAGTTTGTTCTGTGTGGTTTTGTTTATTTATTATTTTTTTTTTGGGGGGGTGAGGTGTGTTACCCTTTGGCGATAGACGTATGCAAATATGAGAGTCCTTCCCGGTAAGAAGACAGACATGCACACTCTGTACTTGCCTTCGGGGTTCGCTCACCTTGGCTTGTGAATCTGTCCAGTGGCAGAGCGAGGAGGAGAAATTCTGGCGTCGCCTGGTTCCGAGGTCTGAGGTACAAAGAGCATATAGGCAGAGAAGAGGGTTTGTGGGGGGGGGGGGGTTCGGGGGGCTTCAGAAAGCCAGATGGAACAGGAAAGAGGGGGTTGGAGGGGGGGCAAGTTATGTAACATTCATGGCCCCCATTTCCCGCTGGATTGAGGAGAGTCTTGGGTTTTGCTGGTATCAACACAGTCCATCTGGCCCTGGCCGGTTGGGCTCAGTGGGTAGAGCATGAGCCTGTGGATGGAAGGGTCCCGGGTTCGATTACCGGTCAGGGCACGTGCCTTGGGGGCATGCAGGAGGCAGCTGATCCACGATTGTCATCTCGTGGTTTCTTTCTCAGCATCGGGGTTTCTCTCTCTCTCCCTCTGCCTTCCTCTCTGAGATCAATGAAAATGTGGTTTTTTGTTTTAAAAAGCCAGTCTCTGCAAAGGGGCTGTAGGTCAGCTGCTTCCTCGGGTGTATTTTCTGCTGGGAGTCATTCATTTTGGAGGCCCCCCCCCCTCTCTCTCCCCCTTCCTCTCTCAAAAATCAATTAAAAAAACATTTTAAAAATAAAGATTAAAAAGTAAAGAGAGTAGACATGGCATCAACTGAAACTCACTTCGAAATGTCAACTGACCCCCTATCAGATGGACAAGTCTTTGTGGGGACTGTCCCCCCCACGAGAGGGACCCAGGAGCCCTCAGCCTGCTCGTACCTGCAGGATGGGGCACTGTGAGAAGCTGTGGCAAGAACAGCTCTGACTTCCCATTCCTCCGATCTTCGGGAAAACCAGATGACCACCGCCCTGACTGGTGTGGCTCAGTGGATAGAGATCCAGCCTTTGGACTCAAGGGTCCGAGGTTCCATTCCGGTCAAGGGCATGGACCTTGGTTGCGGGCACATCCCCAGGTGGGGGTGTGCAGGAGACAGCTGATGGATGTTTCTCTCTCATCATCGATGTGTCTAACTCTCTCTCCCTCTCCCTTCCTCTCTAAAAAATCAATAAAATATATTCATTTAAAAAAAAACAAACATATACCACTTTCCCATATGGCTCTCTCATTCCATTGGGCCTCTGTCTACTGAAAACGTGTGGCCTGACTCCCCCAGTGGACTTGGGGGGGCGGGGTGGAGGGGATAGTGTCTACACTCTCATGGGGACTCAGACGCGCCCAGATCGGAGCAGCACTAGCCAAGGGGCATCCATCCACCCAGGGGGAATGGGGTAGAGCCCTCTCCGCTCTCTGATGCCCCCTGGTGGCCTGTTTCCAACGGTGTGGGTTTTTGTTGGTTAGTTTTGTGAGTGGTTGTGTGTGTGTGTGTGTGTGTGTGTGTGTGTGTGTGTGTGTGTGTGTGTGTGTTGAGGTTTTTTGGTGGTATCTCTGGACTCGTGCCCTGGGCCTGGGAATAATCCCTTCTCAATGATACCACCTGAGGAGCCAGCCCTTTGGTAGATTTCTAGAAAGCTCTGCTTCCAGGAGAGAACTCCGACAGCAGGAAAGCAGGGGCGTGTCCCCGGGCCTCGCACGCTTCATTCATCCCTCCTTGCTCCTGGTTAAGCTGATCTGGATTCCCCGCCGGCCCTCCCTGCACCCCGGGGAGGCATGCGTTTTGGGGTTCCCCTGCAGCTGTGTTCCTGCTCCCCATACAGGAACCTGGGATCCGTGCGGGCTCGCTCCCGCGTTCTGCTTTCCCGCATTCGCTGGGTATTTTTACAGCTGCTTTCCCCGGGACGGGGAGAGACGGGGGGCGGGGGAGGGGGGAGAGAAGAAAAGAAAAAAAGAAGAGAAAAAAGAACCCGACCCCAGCCCTCTCTCTCATCCTGGGAATGTTTCCTGGTGCAAAAAAAAAAAAAAAAAAAAAATGCTGCTGCCTCCCCTTATGTGCTCTGCTCTCTGGACCCTCTAGGATTTCTTTCCTTCCTCCCCTTTCCCTCCTCGCTGCCACCCCTTTTCCTCTGCCTGTGCCCAGAAAAAAAAAAAAAGCCAAAAAGGGGGGAAAAAATCAACAACCGCCTGCTATTCCTCAAGCCCCATGTCCTGCATGTCAGCCCCAAACACGGATGCTTCTCTGCAAAGCCCCTGTGTGCACCACCCAGATCTCTCATTTTTCTCCCCAAGACGTGTGCCTGCACCTCCTGCCTCTGTTTCCCTTCTGAACCCCACTCCCTAATGCAAGCGGGGTGCCCATCGGGAGGGGCATGCATCCCTCCCCGGGGGGGGGGGCCACCCCCAGCCCCTCAGATGCCCGCATCCTCCATCCATCCACCCCATCCCTGAGGACCAGGAGCTGCAGGGAGGGAGGGGAGTGGGCTGGGGAGGGGGGCTCCGGCCGGGAGGACAGGCAGGCCAGGCGTCACTGGCTCCTCCGTCAAACTTTGACAATCAGATGAAAGGAGGAAGCGGGGAGGGGAGGGAGGAGGACAGGAGGAGGGAAGGAGGGGGGGTGTCTGGAGGGAGATGATGGGGGGGCGGGGGGCGGCTCCTTGCTGACGGAGACACACGTCTTTGCCTTGCTCGGCTGCGGCTGGGCTGCTGCGGCTGCGCTCAGCCCACGCCATCGCCCCCCTCCCTGCCTCCTCCCCCTGCTCCCCCTCCCGCCCCGCGGCTGGATGCCTTCCTCGCGCCGCGGTGGTCCGGCCGCACTCCGCAGCGCAGCCGCCAGCGCGGAGGTGCTGGGGGAAGGCAGAGCCTGCGCTCCCGCTCGCTCTCTCTTCCTCTCCGCCGCCGCTGCCGCCAGCCTCGCTGCAGACACCCCGGACCCATCCCCGGACCCATCCGCATCCTCCTCTCCTCCCGCTGGGGCAGAGCCACAGCCCGGAGGCTGCTGCCTGCCTCGCCTGGAGACAGGCAGCACCCGGACAGAGACAGACACACAGATAGAGGCGCAGATAGAGAGGAAGAAGGTACGTGGCTGGTGGGTATCTCCATGCCCGGGATTTTTTTGGGGGGAAGTGAGGGGAAGGGGCACCCCTCCTGGGCGGGATCCGGTGGCGGTGGTGCCGGGGGGAGACTCGGGAAAGGGTTGGAGGGATGGGGGGCCCCCTTCCCTCCTCCTCCTGACTGCGCAAAGCTGCTGCTGCTGCTGCTGCGGAGAGAGAGGAGAGAGGAGAGAGGAGCGCTCAAGCCATCGGCACCGGCTCCCCATCCCGCAGGCGCGCGCGGAGGGAGAGAGCCGCCGGCCAGCCACGTAGGCGCGCGCTCTCTCTCTCTCTCCACTTCTCCCCTCTTCTCTCCTCTTCCTCCTCTTCTCTCCCCTCTTCTCCCCGCTCCTCTTGGCTCCCGGGGTGGGGAAAATAAAATAAAAAATAAAAATAAAAAATTACAGGAACAGGAAAGGAAGAAGGTCCGCCAGCCGCCGGAGGCAGAGCAGCCCCATCCACCGGGGCTGTCGGAGCGCACGGCTGCGGGCGCACGCGCAGGAGGCAGAAGGCATGTCGCTGAGCAAGAATCTGGGTGATGCCGGTCCCCACGTCGAGGCGCCCAAGCCGCCCGTCTACAGCCGCCCCACCGTGCTGATGCGCGCCCCGCCCGCCTCCTCGCGCGCCCCGCCGATCCCCTGGGACCCGCCCCCGATGGAGCTGCCGGCCGCACTGGCCGCCTGGCCGGCCCCGCAGCCCACCTGGGACGTCCCGCCGCCGCAGGTGCAGGTGCAGCCGCCCCCCGCCGCCCTCGGGGGCCCCCCGCTGGTCCCGGGGCCGATGGCCAAGCCCCCGACCACCGGGGTCTTGATGATCCATCCGCCTCCACCGCCGCCTCCTCCGACGCCGGGGGTCCTGATGATGCATCCTTCGGCGGCTGCTGCCGGGGGGCCCCTGGTGCCCCCTCCTCCTCTGCCTCCTCCTCCCGGGACCCCCATGGTGCCGCCTCCGCCTCCGGGGACCCCCATGGTGCCCCCTCCACCTCCTGGCACGCCCATGGTGCCGCCGCCTCCGCCTCCGGGGACCCCGATGGCGCAGCCCCCGCCAGCTGCGGGGGTCCTGATGGCGCCCGGGGTCCTGATGGTCCAACCTGCAGCCGCCGCTCCAGGAGCTCCGCTGGCCCAGCTGCCTCCGCCGCCTCCGGGGACCCTGATCGCCGCGCAGCCGCTGCCGCCACCGCCTCCGCCTCCGGTGGCCCCGATGGCCAAGCCTCCAGGTCCGGGCGTCCTGATGCTCCACCCGACCGCTGCTGCTGCTGCTGCCGCTGCTGCTGCCGCTGCTGCCGCTGCGAGAGCGGCGCCCATCAGCCAGCCCGCGGCCACTCCGGCGCCGATGGTGGCGCAGCCGATGGCGCAACCGATGGCGCCCCCCGCACAGCCCCCTGCGTCCTGGGCCCCGCAGGCGCAGCCTCTCATCCTGCAAATCCAGTCCCAGGTCATCAGGGCGGCCCAGCAGGTGCCCCCCCAGGCTCCCCAGGCCGCTCCCCCCAGCTGGCAGGCCGCGGTGCCCCCCGCGGTGCCCCCCGCGGTGACAGCGGCGTGGCCGGTGCCCGGGCAGGGCTGGCAGACCGCGCCCCTGGCCTGGCCGGCGGCAGCGGCGGCGGCGGCTGCACAGCTCACCTGGCAGGCGCCCGCCCTCGCCGCGGCCGCCGCCGCCGCAGCATCCGCCTGGCAGCAGCAGCCCCAGCCCGCACTGCGCCCCGTGCCCCCCGCCATCCGCCCCGCGGGGCCCCCGCCTGCACCCTCGTCGCGCCAGGCGCCACCGCTCCTGCGCCAGGTGCCGCCCCCGCCGCCCATCCGGCCCGCGCCCCAGGCACAGGGGGGCACCCAGGCGGCGCCGCTGGCCTGGCAGGCCCTGCCACCCCCGCCCCCGCTGCGCCAGGCGCCCCAGGCCCGGCAGCCCCCCCAGCAGCAGCGCTCGGCGGCGCCCCCCGCCGGCCCCCAGGCGTCCTCACAGGCGCTGTCCATCCCGCCCGTCATCTGGGAGGCGCCCAGGGAGCCGGCCGCGGGCGCCCAGGAGATGCCCACCTCCATGGAGTTCCAGGAGGCGCCCCTGCAGGCTCCCTTTTGGCAGATGGAGGAGCAGCAGCAGCAGCAGCCCTTTCCAGGGGGCCCGGCCTCCCAGAAGGCAATGCCGATGCAGCTACCCGCCCAGCAGGCCCCGGCGCCGCCGGGGGCCGCGCAGGCAGAGCTGCCCGATCTGCAACCCCAGCCCTCCTGGCAGCAGGGCGCCCAGGCGGTCCTGCAGGCCCAGATCAGCGGCGCAGCCCCCGCCCTAGCCGGGGCCAGCTTCCCCATGGGGCCCGTCAAGTCCATGCTGACCCCTTCGGGCGATTCCAGGGCCTCGTCCTCCTCCGTAGACCGTAGGACCTCGTCGGCCAGGGAGCGCCGCGCCTCGGCGTCCCGGGAGCGCCGCGCGCCCTCCAAGGAGCGCATGCTGTTCGCCGCCACCTACGGCGCGCCCCGGGGCGGGGCGGGGGGCCGCTCAGCTCCGGCCTGGAGGAGCCTGCAGGCCGCACAGGAGGCCTACGGCGGGGCCATCCCCAGGGGCTGCTTCCCCTCCACCTCCCAGTACCAGCCGGGCCCTTCCGACGTGTTCCTGGGGGGGCCCCCAGCCATCCCCGAGGTCCCCCAGGCGCTGCAGGATCCCTTTGGCTACGCGGAGGCCATGCCCGGGGTCTCCTGGGTGGCCCAGCACGACCCCAGTGTGCCCAGCGGGTCCCAGGGGGATCCCTCCATGCTCATGGCCCAGGCCCAGGCCCAGGCCCAGGCCCAAGCGCAGGCCATGGCCATGGCCACCGCGGCGGCGGCGGCAGCCCCCCTCCAGGCCATGGCCTTCCCCCAGGAGGCCCCCAAGCCCCCCGAGGAGCCAGCCCGGCGCCCTGGGGGCAAGGCCACCCGCAAGAAGAAGCATCTGAACACCGAGGAGGACGAGGGCGACTATTACTACAGCACCGGCGGCGGGGCCGGCGGCCGTGGCCGTGGCCGAGGCCGGATGCTGGCGGCGCGCCACTGGCAGCCCCCGCGCCGCTGGGCCCCCGCCGCCGCCGGGGACCGTGACGCCTGGGGGGGGGAGGCCCCGTGCAGCTGGGATGACCCCATCGCCGCGGCGGCCCGCGGCCTGAGCCTGAGCGCCTGGGAGGGGCCCACCACCTCCCGCGTCCTGAGCGGCTGGGAGGGGCCCAGCACCTCTTGGGCCCTGAGCGCCTGGGAGGGCCCCAGCGCCTCAAGGGCCCTGAGCCTGTGGGAGAGCCCCGGGTGCAGTGCGAGCGTGCAGTGCCTGATGCTGGCCGAGCTGGCCGGGGTGTCCCTCGGGGCGGGCACCGGCCAGGGCGGGCCCGTGTGCCCCCTGGACGAGCGGGCCAACGCCCTGGTGCAGTTCCTCCTGGTCAAGGACGGGGGCAGCGTGCCCGTCACCAGGTCCGAGATGGTCCGGTACGTCATCGGAGAGTACCAGGACCAGGCCCTGGAGATCATCCAGCGCGCCAACCACAAGCTGGAGTGCGTGTTCGGGTACCAGCTGAGGGAGGTGGACCCCAAGAGCGAGTCCTACCTCATCGTCAACAAGTTCGGGGGCGGGCCCGTGGCCACCCCGGCCGCCTGCCTGGAGATCCCCAAGCTGGGGCTCCTCATGGCCGTCCTGAGCCTCATCTTCATCAGGGGCAACCACATCCGGGAGGGCGTGCTGTACGGCTTCCTCGAGAGGCTGGGCCTGGACGTCCACGGGGCCCCCGGCCCCCTGGGCGACATCAAGACGCTCATCACCGGCGACTTTGTCGGGCAGAGGTACCTCGAGCTCAGGGAGGCCCCCGACGCCCGCCCCCGGGAGCGGGAGCTCCTGTGGGGGCCCCGGGCCTTCATGGAGATCAGCAAGATGCTGGTGCTCAAGTTCCTGGCCAAGCTGCACAACACCAACCCCCAGAGCTGGCCCTACCACTACTTTGAGGCCCTTGCCGAGTGCGAGTCCGACGAGGAGTGGGAGTACGAGCAGCTGGGCCCCTACTACGCCCGCCCACGGGGCCGGGGGGGTCGTGACCGCAGGGCCCACCGCCGCTAAGCCAGATCCCGGCCCCGGGCCAAGTCAGATCCCACCCCGGCCGAGTCAGATCCCACCCAGGCCGAGTCAGATCCCAGCCCCAGGCCAAGTCAGATCCCAGCCCCAGGCCAAGTCAGATCCCAGCCCAGGCCAAGTCAGATCCCACCCCGGGCCGAGTCAGATCCCACCCAGGCCGAGTCAGATCCCACCCCGGCCAAGTCAGATCCCACAATCTGACAAGATGTCTGTCCCTTCGCGTCCCCCACGACACGGCCAAGAGCCGCTCACAGGGTCCTCGTGCGTGTACGTGTACGTGTGTGTGCGTGTGTGCGTAATACCGGGAGGGGGAAAGGGGGTGGGGAGTGGGAGGGGGCGGGGTCGTGTCAACGCGTGTCCCCGGTGTTCCCCCCACCCCCGTGCCAATCCTACTATGTGTGTAACACGCCTGGATCTCAGATATGGTTCCTGTTAAATCTGCCAAAGCTTTGTACATCCTCACTTTGCTGTCTGACTTCAAGTGGCTATTGTTCCTCCTGGGTACCTCTTGGCACTTGTGTATCTCAGTGAGCCGTGTGATTATCTCTGTGTATCTCTCTCTATCTCTCTCGTGTTCCTGTCCGACGTGTTTTCGACGTGTTCTGACGTGTCCAGCCTGTCGCCGTACCCAGAGTCCTGCTGGCTTCTGTGAAACGAACTGTCACGCGGCCGTCCGTCTCATCCTGGTGCAAAAAAAAAAGTACTGTGTAGTGTTGTCGGAGACTTAGGCTGTTCTGTGACGTGTGAAACATGGCTCCTCATCGGTCACCGCTGTCCCGCAGAGAAATAAATATCTATATCTATATCTAAATAAATATACTTTCAAGCATAGCACAGAGGCGTTTGCCTTTTCGGTTTTTTACCCGCCGAGTTGTGTGTGTGTGTGTGTGTGTGTGTGTGTGTTTTCCCCTCTCTAGAATACACCACAACACTAAGACTACGAAGGGGCACAACACAATGGTTTTGGAGGGGGGAGGCGGAGGGTAAGGGGGGCGGAGGGACATAAGATGGGCATGAAACCTAGAGTCCAGACCTCACAAAGCCCCTCACTGTGGGCTTGGTTATTCCCGCATTGTAGACAAGTGTCTAAATGCAGGTGGAGTCACTCAACGGCCCGGGCCAAGGGCGGGTCCATGAGGTGGGCATTCAAAGCAGGTTTTCTTGAGGTTATGGGGGGCGGGGGGACCCCTCCACCTGTAGGAACACAGGTATCCAGGCATTTGTCCGTCACGTGGCCTTGGGTGGGGGGACCTGGGTTTTGTTCACACACGGATATTGGGGTGGAGACATGCATCCTAACCGGGGTTCTAGTGGGGAAAGGGGGAGCAGCAGCCTTCAGCCAACGAGGGGTCCTATATATTGGCGGTGATTGGGGAGGTGGTAAGGGGGTCCTAGGGGCTGGGGGAGCTCAGTCCTAACATACAGCGGGCGTCAGCTGCCAATATCTGAGCCCTGGGGTATAGGGACTTATGAGGGAGGGGGCTACAGGGGGCCAGTGTACTATCCTGGGTGTTTGGGGGTGATTTTGGGGTGGTAAGGGGGTCCTGGGGGTTGGGGGAGCTCACTCCTAACATGCAGGGGGCGTCAGCTGCCAATGTCTGAGCCCTGGGGTGCAGGGACTGGCGAGGGAGGGGTCCTAAGGGACCAGTATACCATCCTGGATGTTTGGGGGGGTTGGGGGGTGGTAAGGGGGCCTTGGAGGTTGGGGAGCTCAATCCTAACATGCAGGGGGTGTCAGCTGCCAATATCTGAGCCCTGGGGTGCAGGGACTGGTGAGGGAGGGGTCCTAAGGGACCAGTATACCATCCTAGATGTTTGGGGGTATTGGGGTGATTGGGGAGGTGGTAAGGGGGTCCTGGAGGTTGGGGGAGCTCACTCCCAACATGCAGGGGGCATCAGCTGCCAATATCTGAGCCCAGGGGCGCAGGGACTGGCGAGGGAGGGGTCCCAGGGGCCAGTGTACCGTCCTGGGTGTTTTGGGGGGTAAGAAGTTCATGCCTGCACCAGCTGGCATATAGACGACTTTCTGAGAGTCATTCTCTCTTCGAGGGGGTGGAGATAATCGGCGTGGCCGCCACCCCTGCTGCCCGGTCCTATAAGGGCCCAAACCCCCCAACCCTAACCCACCTACCCCCCGCCCCAAACCCATCTCTAGGTAAAGATGAAGTCCCAGGCAGGTGGTCCTTAGTGGTGGTGGAATTCGCCTGCCACCTAGCGGCCGACGCCGGTTCTGTCGCTCCGGCAGCTGCCGGGTGTACTACGTCACCACTTCCGGCCCCCCCCCCCCCAACACCATCAAACTTGCTTCACCACCTTCGCCCAAAGTTTTCCCGCCAAAACCTTCCTCATTTCCTCGTAGGTCATAGCACAAGGTAAAAACCTCTTCTCCAGCCTTTCTGGGACGAGGGGCTACAGGGGGTCTTTGGCAAGTTGTCCATGTGACCAGAGGGCCCTGACATGTGGGGGCAGGTGGGGTTGTGTGTGTGTGTGTGTGTGTGTGTGTGTGTGTGTGTTTGCAAACGTGCTGGGTCAGGGAGTCGTCGTACAGCGCTTCTGCCCCCAAAGCAACAATCAGGTGTTTGTTTGGGCGGGCATTCAAAGCAGGTGCCCATGGAACACAGCTGAGAATGACTCCCCCAAAGAGGGTTCGCTGGCTCTGGTCTTTCCCATTTCTGCAAAAAAGTTGTTTCTCTCGTTTCCTCTACATGTTTACTCATGGGCGGGAAGGCTTGAGCAAGATGCTCGCTGAACAGTGGCCAGGGCGGCTCCCCATCAGGGCACTCGCCTGGGTTGCGGGCTCGATCCCCAATGGGGGCCGAGGAAGGGTGTGAAGGAGGCAGCTGATGGTTGTTTTGATCTCTCACCAACGTTTCTCTCTCTCTCATCAAACATCGGAAAGTAGCACCATAGGACACTTGCAATTTATAATCCACTAAACCAGTGGTCGGCAAACCGCGAGCCACGTGCGGCTCTGTGGCCTCTTGCGTGTGGCTCTTCCACAAACATACCACGCCCTTTTGAAGAAGTGGCGTTAGAAGAAGTTTATGTTTAAAAAAAAAAATGTGGCTCTCCAAAGAAATTTCAATCGTTGTCCTGATGATACTTGGCTCTGTGGACTCATGGGTTTACCCGCCACTGAGCTAAAGCAACCATTGTATAGAAATGTATATTTTAAAAAAGAAGAAAAAGAAAATGTAAGGAAGCCCCACTTTTCATGGAAACCCTCCAAAATGTGTAGGGGCCGGTGGAATGTCGTGGCTGAGCCCCAAACTGTGGGACTCACAGCCTTTCCACCGCTTCACGTGAGATCTTTTCTGTATTCGATTGTAAGGAGAGACGAATTACAATGATAATGAGTGTTTAAGGGCAAACAAATTAGCCAGCTATTCCACTGAGAAGTTTAAGAAAAGAGGGATGATATTAGGAAAGCAGAGGCAGAAAACAACATCTGAGGACATGTAAAAGGATGCGGTAAGAATAAGCTCAAGACCCCATTGATTCAGAAGCTCAATCCTAACATGCCGATAAACGTAACGTGTCGATAAACGTAACGCAAGGCATTTTACCGTAACATGGAGGAAAGAATAAAGTCCCTGTAATCAAATGGGGGGAAGTATCAAATGACCAAAAATTTTTTTAAAAAAGAAAGAAATATAAATAGGAAATAACTCTAAAAACTGTTCCATCTCACTCGTATCTCAAGACAAGAAACATCAGACCAGTATTCCGGTGTTCATGTATTATTATAAATTGGCACAGGATAAAATAAAAGCCTCTGGGACACCTGATATGCATAAAATCATGCAATGGCCATCCTTAGACACTACGGACGGAAGTGCAAAGTGCTACAACCTTCCCTGAAATAAACTCGGCCCACTGCATCTTCAAGACGTTTAAAGATATGAATTCTCTTCTACTTAAGAGACTCGTATGGGGCTGCAGCAAACGGAAATAAGCTTCTGTGGGAGCAAAGGTTTCTTCACAAAAGCATGCTTATCAGAGTGGAAGGCCTTAAAATATCAAGTAGAATATGTCCGTCCATCCCCCACCCCCTATCCCCCATAGAGCCATATTAATATCAAGTTGGTCCAATGAGTTTTCTGGTGAAAACACGAAAGACTTCCCCAGAAAACAACTTGCCGTTGGCTCTACTACTAAATGACATTCTGGGGGATGGGAGTCATGACCACATGTGCCTGAAAAATATTTTTTAAATATGTTTTTATCGATTTCAGAGAGGGAGATAGAAAACATCCCTGGAGAGAGAGAATCATGGATCGGCTGCTGCCTGCACGCCCCACACTGGGGAGCAAGCCCAAAACCTAGGCATGTGCCCTGACTGGGTATCAAACCATGACCTCCTGGTTCCTAGGAGCCACATCGGCCGGGCATGAAAATTTTTTTAAGTGGGGGGGCCAGTAGACTCCCATCAAAGCCATAACATTATCTCAACAAAAGCCATTTCCCATGATGCTGTCTGACTCCTGGGAAAGAGAAATTTTGAAATATTTCTCAAAGTGGCCAAATCCAGGATGTTCAGGTACAAGCTGTGTAGGATGTTCAGTTAGAAGCGAGTGTGTACCTCAGTCTATTTCTCTAAAAGGGATGATCCGATTTGGGGAGACAGTTTTTACCATAAGTGACATTTCTGGAGAGCAATCAAGGTGTGGGCTAGTGCCCGGCGGCCATGGCTCAGTAGTTGAGCCTGGACCTACGGACCGGAAGGTCCCAGGTTCGATTCCCAGTCAGGGCACGTGCCCAGGTTGCAGGTTTATCCCATTGTGGGGTCTGCAAGAGGCAGCTAATCAGTAATTCTCTCTCGTCATTGGTGTTTCTCTCTCCTTCTCTGAAACCAATAAAAAGGTATTAAAAATTATTTTTTTAAAAGACACACAGGCCAGTTACTTGTCAAAATCACATATAAGGCAATGATGTTGTCAGCAAACGGGAACTGACGGTTGAAGCTGTGATGGATGGGGCATTTT